TCTCCAGGTCTCCGAGCGGTGTCCAGCTGCCTCCAGCAAGCCCCTTTCTTCGTCGCTAAGCCTCTGCAGATCTTCCCTGAGTCACTGTGGCTTATGACATTCTGTCCAATCAGCTGTCAGCAAGCTTCCCTGTACCTTCACTGCAATGACCATTGACTGGTTCAATCAGAGCTACACAAAAAGCTGTTCTCGAAACCCCACTGCGGGGCAACGGGAACACGGTCAACTAAATCTCCGGTGGAAAATATTTCTAAAATACAGATCAGATCAACTATTGCAACTTCGTCAAATTGTTAATTTGGTTGAGAATAATATCTTGTAAAAGAAAAAAATCTCAGGAAAAGTTGAGAATGGAAATCTTGGAAAGTCACGAACTTCGGGCACAGACATGACACTCCTCTCAGGTTCCGGGCCATTTTGGATTTCAAAGTTTCTGACGGGATGTGCTCAGAAAAATCTCTGAGAACATCCCCAAATCCAAACAACTCCAAATGCTGAAGCACCTTTGGTCCTGAGCATCTCTGGTAAGGGATTTACAACCTACACAGGCAAAACCCAAGTTGACCTATCAGAATTCATGTCGTCTCTTTAGAAGCCAGGGTCTCAGGTAGTGTAGCATGGCCTCGCTCAGACTTGTTTGTAGCTGAGGGTGGCCCACCTGCCTCCTCTACCTTCTGAATTCCGAGGTCTCAGACCTGCTTCCTTGGAGTGTTAGGGAACCAAAACGGGGCTTCAGACATGCTAGGCAAACGTTCTACCCACTGTGCTACGCATCCAGCCCCTCCCGGCTGAACTGAACTGTTTTCTGGTACATGGGACAACGAATACACCCCAGGGTGCATGCTGGGTTGCACACCCAGTGTGTGCGCTTGAGCAGTTCACCTCCACTGAGTGTGAGAGGGTAGCGAGCGTTCTGGACCTTCACACGCACATTTTGTAAGTCCTTTGCTGGCATTTGCTTGGACAAACAGTGAATGAAGCCGGTTCTCACCGTGAAATCAGACTAATTCATTATCGTCAGTCGGGGGCTAGCTTAGATGTCAGGCTTGGCAGCTCCAACGGAACTAACGCACTGTATCCACATCCATCATCGGAGGAAAAGTTACGACGGGGGGAAGGATTTTCAAGGCTAGCAGAATTCATGAGAAAGGGTTCTTACAACTTCTTAGAAAACAAACTGCTCTTTAAAGACAACTTTGATGAGTTAAGTGCAGAATGAATGAGAAACATATGGGTTCTATTTCCCTAAAGATGCGCGGGAGTTTAAACACTAGAGGGAATGTGTTTGCAAAGTGTGTCTGAGAAGGATTACAAAATAGATTTCAAAATGCTTGAAAAATAGCCCGAGGTCACTGGCAAACCTCAGATGGGGCACAATAGTTCATCTGCCCCTAACTGCATAAGAAATGTGAGTACCACAACCCAAGATTTATGTTATAGAGGAGCAGTCATACTGTGGTCAGCTATGTGTGTAAGGAATTATTGAGGACGTGCTAACTGAAGGCCATCTGAAGCATGCAGCACCAAGCTTGGCTGTGGAGCGGAGCGTCGATGGTGCCCCGTAGCTAATGACAGCCAAACATACAGCCGGAGAATGAGGCTGCACAGTCGAGTGTTGGAGAGTCATGCCGCCTCCATGATGCCCCAAATGCATTCTTTGAAACTCTTGGGAGGCTCAGTTTATTCCATAAAGCCTTGCACAAAAAAAAAAAAAGAAAAAGAAAGAAAGAAAGAAAGAAAGAAAGAAACATCCACCTGCCCTCGGACACAGCGAGTGGCAGCAACAGCCCCAGGTGCATTCACATCTCACGACACTGGAGCTCCTGCTTCACACACACACACACACACACACACACACACACACACACACACACACATCGCTAACATGAAAAGCAACAGGATGTGTTAAGATGATCGTCTAAAAAAAAAAGCGTCCAGGTCAAAGAGCCCTGCCGATAGGGGAAGGTGAACGGTTAAGAATCTCAGAAAGCAGGGCAAACTTGGCGAGTACCTATTGTGTATATTTGGCTTTGCTCAGAGTAATCCAGAGCCTAACCTGAGCTAGGCTAGGTCCCAATCCTCCTGCGTGAGCGCCATGTGCCTTCAGCGGGTTGCCCTACAGACTCCTCGGCTGCAGGAGGCTGAGCAGACATCTGATGACAATGAACGTGTCTCGGAGAGGCTCCGCATTGCAGACGGCATCTTCGGTTCTTCAAGGCCAGTGTCTTGTATTTCTTAACTATTGTCCACCTGAGTGAATCAGTACAGCATCCCAATCCAAAATGCGCCAGAATCAGAATGCTAGACAAGATGCCCCAAGCAGAGCCACCACAGCAAGGCTCGTGACAGGGCACAGCTTAAACAAAGGTATAGTAAAAGAACTGTAAGCTGCAAGATTGCCCCCAGCCTTCATCTATAAAATATGTACAAAACATAGGATCTGGGTTAAAGTCCCAAAGTGGCCAGACTCTTAAACCCTTCCGGCCCCCAGCACACTGGACAAGGAATATTCAAGCTGTGCATATAGCAAGCACTATGCTCTCTGACTTGCTGCCTTGCTTTCTACTTTTGGCAGACTGCTTCACGGTGAGAAGCGCACATGCATCGGTCCCCAGACCAGAAGATCACTTGAAATCTCTGGCCAGCTTTTCAGCTCAGAGAGAGATGTTTGCGCCGTCACTGGCTCCTGGCTTCCACTCTGAGTGATGATGAGCCGCTAGGCACATTCACAGAAGGTAATATTGGGAGAGGTCCGATTGCTTCCTTTCCCACCTGTGTGGGGTGCGGTAGGAGCATGGGCTGTGAGGAGTGAGAGCTGGAACCAGCCAGGGGAGACAGGGGATCCCCGTTCCTCTGTCTGTTCACTGGAAAGGAAGTGGAGGATGTAAGGGGCGAGAGGACCAGGCCACGCTCAGCTTTCTCCGTTTCTTGGCTAACTCCTGGTTTCTCTGGGGAAACTCCAGCAGTGAACACCATTCTGCCCCCAACCTACCTCACAGCTCCAGGCTGCTCTAGCCCTCAGCCCTGGACAAAGGTCAAAGGGCTTATGGGGCAGAGTGGGACAAGCTGGCCCTCCCTGGCCTCTTCTAGTTTGGTATCACTTGCCAGAAGGACAAAAGTTCACTAGTGGTCACAGGAAGTAAATTGAACTGCTTCCAGGTACCTTCCAAGCTGCAAATACGACCCAGTGTGCGCATTGTAGCTGCATGCAAACCCCAGATTCATGCTTGGTCTACCAAGGGCTCTTCTGGGAATCAAGTGTCTTGGTTTCTCTTCTGTGACTTTGATTAAAATACTGACAAAAGCCACTTAAAAGAGAAAGGTTGATTCCAGCTTACAGCTCAAAGTACAGTCCTTCACAGTGACAAGTCGAGGTGGCAGGAACGCCATGCCACGGGTCACATGGTATCCGCAACCAGAACGCAGAGAGAGAAGCATGCCTGCTAGTGCACGCTTGCCACTGGCTCTCTCCATCTGTCAGAGCCCGGGATCCCAGCCAGGGAAGGGACCAGCCCACAGTTAAGATACAATGTCCCGGACGTTCTCAGAGGCTGACCTCAATCTCCACCATTCCTCATGGGTGTGCCAGAGGCTTGTCTCCTAGGTGACTGCAAATCCTGCCAGGATGGCGATGAACACGAACCACTAGGAAGAATCGTAGAGAATCCAGGGAAGAGAGACAACACAGCTCACACAGCAGAACTCCCCTCTTCCCTGTCCCCAGACAGCTTGTACTCATCCGCCATGATTCTCAGCGGAGGAAGAGAGGCCACACATGTGCTACAGAGCGGTAGCAATATTTGGAAAACAAATGTCAAAGAGGTGTTTGGAGCCCATAATTCTGTACCACGAAGAAAATCAAAAAATTAAATCTCTCACTTAGGAACCCAGAGCCACAGTGTGTTACTGGATGGGGGCTGTAGAGATGGCTCGGCGGTGAAGAGCCCTGGTTACTCTCCCGGAGGACTTAGTTTCCAATTCTCCGCACCCACATGGTGGCTCACAACCATCATAACTCCAGTTTCAGGAGATCCAACACCCTCTTCTGGCCTCTGCAGGAGTGTATGACTGTAATACACATACAGAAACGCAGACAAAACTCTCTACATAAAAATAAAATCGTAGTGTTAAAATTAATGAACACATGAAAAGATGCTCAACATCTGTTGTGATTGGGAACAAGAAATAAAAGCAACTTTTATACACTCACCATAATGGTGAAATCCAAACCACCACCACCACCAATTGCTGGTAAGGGTTTGGAGCAAGGGGGTCACACATCCTCTGCTAGTACACATGCAAGATGGCCTTGGCCACACAGGAAGACAGTGCTGTCGTTTCTTTGAAACTTCTCTTAGGATGCTCAGGGAGCACAGCTGGAGGTATTTGCTCGAAGGCGCTGAAGAACTTAGTACTGCCTTACACAAACCTTCCCCCCCACACATGAACACTGTAAATATATAGCGTGGTTTACAGCCATTTTATTCATAATTGCAGAAGTTAGAAGTCACTGAGACATCTTTCGGTACAAACAGAGAAAAGTTAAAGGTGCAACTGATTTGCGGGTGACACACAGAAGTCTGAAAAGCTACGTATTCTGGTTCACAGTCTGAGATCTGGAAAAGTGAAACTACGGAGACAGGAGAGTGGCTCAACGGCCTGGGAGGTGGCGGGGGAAATGCGCAGTGAAATGACTGTCCATGAAACAGTTTTGGTAGGTACGTGCATCGTACTCATGTCAAAATCCGTAACTCTACGCAGAGCGAGTGAAGCCCACTGCAAGCTTCGGACTTCCACGCCAGAGCAGTTTCAGTGCAGCATGGTAGTCAAGAGGAGCTGGGGTGCTGGTGAGCGAGGACGGGCTCTGTAAGAACCATGTCTGCTCTCGTTTTCCTAAAAGGTCTCTAAAAACTAAAGTCCAATAATTCAGGAAATGGCTTTTGGGGTGTCATCAAACAAGACTCACGATCTAGAAAATTCACCATACAGAACGTCCATTATGCAACAGCATCACATAAATATTTATTAAAATAGTTAATTGGAAAACTACACACATTACTACATCAACCTTAAATTTATTAGTACATTTCACAGAAAACAAAATATCAAGTGGCCAACATGTGACTTCCTGAGGAAAGTCCAAACAAAGGTCACTGTCAGCTGGGGGCTGTATGTTGTCCCTGTAGCCGCAGGAAGCCCATGTCCCATCCACAGCAAGCCACACAAGACGCCATCAACAGGGAGATCTCTAAACGTTTGTCCCGACATCACAGCTCACACACAAACACAGCAGACAGCAATGCGGAAAGTGGAGGAAGCAGCATTTAAAGACGACAACTGAGAAACCTCTTTTATTAATTAGTTTCAAAAACTGGATGACAAACACTGGAACCAAAATCTTAGTGGCACACCTCCAGGCCATTCTGACACGCAGGGGTCCCGTGGACACTGTGTCCACAGAGTGGCCACCGAGGACAATGAATGCTCACCAGTCACACGGCCGTGTGAGCAGGAGGGTTTTCCTAAAGTCCGAAGGTTTCAGAGGGGGGAGAGGGGAACTGCGGGGCTCCAGATGTTTAAGATCAGCGTGTGGATTTGGATTTACAGAAATCTGAGAAGCTAGCAGAGCATGCGCTGTGTGTGGATCTGCTCCATGGGATGAGATACACTCAAAGAAAGAGGCTGGGCCCTCAAGAGGGGAAGCAACCTCTAGGCTTCACAGAAGGGTCGTTTGGAGAACCTGGCTTTGCCAGAGGAGGAATGGCAAAATGTGTTTAAAAACAAAATTCAAGTTAAACTGGGTATGTGGCACACACCTTTAACACCAGCACTTGGGAGGCAGAGGCAGGAGGATCTCTGTGAGTTCAAGGCCAGCCTGGTCTACAATGTGGTTCCAGGACAGCCAGTGCTACATGGCGAGATCTTGCCTCGAAATAATAAATAATAATTTTTAAAAATTAAAATTCTACTTTAAAATTTGAAAGTTAACAGGAGGAAGCCAGAGCAGCAGAGAAGATGGTGCCTGGAAAAACAGACCCGCAGGGAGAGGGGAAACTAAGCGGGGAGACTGAGCCCTTGGATCTCCTCCCGGGGGCGAGCATGCTCGGCTCACTGAGGGCGGGGGCGAAGGCTTTGTGTTCGCCCGTTCATAGCAGAAATCCCTGCATCGATCCCCACGTGGTGCCAACCGTACCAATCCCATACCACTACCGATAAGCCAATATTTAGGTTTTAGGTTTTGTTTTTAGTTTTCTCAAGGCCTGAGAAAGGCAAAGCAAAAATAATTTTGTAGCATCATCTTAATATAGTTTTATTAACAAGGCACCTGAAATTAGAAATATCATCAAAATTAGAGCTTTCAGAGGAAAAAAACTAATAAAAATTCAAAGAATTACTATTAAGTAAATATGCAAAAATATATTATCATACAGGTTTAATTTTTTACTCAGTTTCATGTTAAGAAACAATATCAAAAGCAAACAATCCAAAAATTAAATAAATAAGTATGAAAAGCCTAAATTAAAATTACAAATAAGTAAACATGTAGTAATTCAAACAAAGTAGAAAACTACGAACTAATTAGTGAAGATGAGAATTAACCAAGTACGGTGTCATAGTCTATCCTGACGTGTCCTTCAACTGTGTCTTCCGGAATCTGTTGTGACCGACTCCAAGAGTCACATAAATGTCGTGTGCACCACAAACTTAATATCATACATTCAAAACATTAAGAGACAAAACAAAGATACAAAAAAGTTGGAATATTCATGATTCTTTCTTCATACCGAGTTAAATGACCTTTGCTTGGAAAAGGCCATGTCCCACCTACCATTTTACACCAAAGCACAGGGCACACTGTAGAGTGACCTATATTTAATAACATAACAGTGGAAATGCATCATTATGGGGGGAAAAAGACCGAAGAAGACGGCACTAGGGAAGCCAAAGCAGACGCACTGTGCAAATGACTTGAGCAGTTCTTCACTTCCACCGCAAGTGGATGAGGAAGGGGAGGTCAGCTTGTCTATGCTCGGGCAGATTCGGGGTCCTGCAGTGCATGACCTTAGATACCTCAGACCTAAGTAGACCACTGACCCCTGCAGAGCCACAACACGGAAAGACAGACAAGCAACAGGCAACATTGTGAGCTGTCCCTGAGGGAACCTTCCGGGACAGCTGCTGGTTTTAGAGCCCGGGCACTTGCCCGCCTTCTTCTGGGTGCTGTCCCCCCCCCTCCGCTCTCTGCGCTGTCTGGAGGTTAAACAGCTGTTTGAGGAAACTGTGACACAGGTGCTCCTGGGACGCCCATGGCAGGGTGCCCTGCGGTGTCCCAGGATTTCTGATGACAGAAGACAGAGCCCAGTGTGTCTGGGTCACAGCTGAAAGGGCTGTGATGTCACTGCGTTTCCAAGCTGGAGCTTCCCAAGCCATTTGTCTGGGGCAGTTCACCAATATTAATTTACTTTCTTTTTTTTTTTAAAAAAAAAAATAATTATGGAAGCAAAACATTTACAGCAAACACATTGCATGGACACATCTTATCATAATTACACGTGTAACTATGGCATGGAAAAATGAAAATGGCTGCATTGCAATAGATCTTTAATTCCTTTCTATTGTTTAGAACTTTTCATTTTAAAACAAATCAAAGGCCAAAGAGGAGAGAGGGAAGCCTTTTTGTATATTCTCTTCCCCAAACACAGAGATCACTGTGCCTCTCCACTCATGAGCTAAACTGTGCTTTAGCCGCAGAAGCCAGGAGTGACAGTTATCAAAAAAAAAATTAAAAAAAAGTCCAGCCAGAGCTTCGCTGTCTGAAGCAGCTTTGCAAGCTGCACAGCCTCCGCCCACTGTCCTGTGCACAGAGAGTGACCAGCACAGTGTGCCCAGGAAGGGACTGTCCATGGCTCCCGTGAAGGAACCCTACACACACCAGTCACTGAGCTGTGGCCCCCAAATGTTCCTGCTTTCAAAGGACAGAACCAACCACCTCTCCTGGGATAACACACCTGCCTTACAACTGAGAAGCCAACAAAGGTCTCCCGCGGCCAAGACAGGGATGAGAGACATCTGGAGGGGCCTGTGCCAGACCCTTCCAAGGGTTTAAGCCATGCAAAGCCTTTGCCGTCCATTGACAGCAAAAAGGGACAGGAGGGCTGTAGAGACACCTGACTCTCCTACCTAACTCAACTGCAGCAAACACCACCTACCCTAGGATGGATGCGCAAATGCTGCGCGGAATTATATGAAGGATTAAGAAAAATTAGATTGATGCAAAGGGAAGTAATGAAAAATCCAGAAAAGGCCTACTGACCTGGGGTTACAGAGAGGTCTCTGTGTGTGTTTGTTTGTTTGTTTGTTTGTTTATGAACAACACTATTAGATGGTGATGGTTTGCTGGAGAATTTGAGTGGGGTTGTTTATTTCTGTTTGTTTTTGGAGATAAGGCCTTGCTATGCCGTGCAGGCTGGTTCAGACTACATGTATGTTTGCGTGCCTGGGCCACGGAAGTCAGATGTGCCGCATTTTCACCACGCATTCATCGGCTGGGGGACACTGGGTCTTTCCACTTCCTAGTGATCCTCCTGCCTTGCCCTCCACGTTAGCTGCTCATTTTAAACGTTTATAAATTATCTGGAGAGTGCTGCCAATGCCCTGATGGAAAAGCTGAGGTCAACATCTAATTTGAAATATTAAACTATTTCCAAAGCGCAGATACTAAGTGCATCGTTGCCAGCGATGGTGCTGATGATAGAACATGCCTCCTGAAGGCCTATACAACAAAGTCCACTGGAGCAGGTCCAGCTGTTTCAACAGCTGAGCAGTCACAGTTAGGACTGGTGGAGAGCCATGTGCTCTTAGACTTTTTGATACTGCAGGGCAAGTGGATTTGTGACAGACTGCGACCTCTGAGTCACCCACAGACAGACATTTTTCTAGTATGTTTTCCAGTGGTTTCTCCGTCCTCATTTGAAACTGTGAAAGGAAAGCAGGGCCTGAGATAGCTCACGACTGTCCAAAGACTCCTTTCATGCTTGTTGGAACCCAAACTGATCTCAGAGATGACCCCTCTACTATCAGAAACGTGCCAGGGACCCACAGAAGCCTATCACTGAGGGACTGCTGAAGAGCTGGCCAGGGATTGGAAGGCTGTAGGCGAAGGCTCCGCCCTCACACGGAAAGGCCTAAGGAACTGTGTGCTGAGCACTGTGGCTGTCCTGCAGCCTCAGGCCACGCCAGGCCTCTCCAGAGCCTTTCCACTCAGCCGCTGCTGTCACCACACTAAAGGCAATGTCTAATCAAACTAAGGGTTAAAAATCAAAAGTCACTTCTGCAATAACGACAGCCGCCCTGCACCTCCCCACACGCACTCAGGTGAGACAAGGCCCTTTGGATGCCCCCCTTCCTGTGAGTTAATTTTGAGTAATTGTGTATGTCTGAAAAGTGAAGACTGCTAGTTTTTGTTTCCTGGTTTTTTTTTTTTTTTAAACAACAACGAAAGCCCACCACCGTTTTGTTTTGTTTGAAGCCAAGGCATGCCTGTGCTGACTTTGTGACGGACTAATCTGTTTGTTCTGCTGCTCCCTGGTTCCATTTTGGAGAGTTATCTGGGCATCTTAGGAACCCCCTCACCCCCAGCCCTTCTCTCTTTTTGGAGTGTGGGGGGGTTCTTAGTCTTGTTTTTTCAAAGCTGTTAACCAGTGGACAGCACTTAAGGCAGAAGACCAGTTATTTCCACATTCTACAAAGTGTCCCCCGCCCCCCAGCTCTTAGGAAGGCCGTAGAAACGCCACGTTTAGTAACGTGCTCCTCGGAAGCTGCCGTTTCTCTCCACCCTTGAGTGGATCGGACTTGGGGGAAACTCACAAAGGTGGATGGAGGCTGTCCTGCCCCCGTTCTAGGATCCACTACGTGTGTGACTGTGACCTTCAAGGGTGTTAGTTTGCCGTTTGCTGATTTGGGGGTGGGTTTCTTCTTTCATTGATAAATGATAAAACGCATTGCACCTTGTGAAGTACACTGAATGGATCGAGTTACTAATTAAAAAGAAAAAGTTCTTTTGCCCCGCAGTCATTTCTCACAAGCTTAGCCCAGATTCACAATCACTGTAATGTTCCTAGATTCAGCTGAAGCGCTGGTGCGTAGGCTTCCCTAAGGGATGGTGCTAGAGGCCATGGTTACTGACGACTGCCATCTCCCTGCAGGTGATGCGGTCACAGGCCTGCTTCAGTAAGATGCTATGACATGTGGGCCAGGGAGCATACTTAACCAACAAGGGGACCGGTCAGGCTATCGCCTTTTTGTCTTCCCATGCCTATGCGGAACCCTTGAACAACTGGCTGGAGCTCTCTCATTCAAGGAAAAGGGCAAGAGTCTCGTAACTCTCCAGACGTGTTAATAGATTTTATCAGATTATTTTGTTTGCAGGTTCCAATCTTTAAAAATGTTTAGGTGGTCTACTCCTTCCGCAGTCCTAACTGTGTGCCTTCATCAGCGCTGAACCAATGCTTCCTTGTACCTCATTTCTTTGTAGAGAAATTCTTTTCAAATGACATTAAACAAACAAAACTATTCGCAAGCCAATAAATAAATAAATAGATAAATAAATAAATAACCTGGGGGTGGGGCTGGAGTCCCTGCTGCTCACAAAGCTGAACCAGGAAGATCATGTGAGCTCAAGAGCGGAAGAGCAGCTCAGACAACCACGTGAGACCCTTCCTCAAGATGCACAGGTAAGCGCAAGTTTGCTCATCTGTCTCTCACCCTAACTCTTCAATAAATGGCCCATCACGATAAGATCATGGCTTCCGATTTGAAATGCATAATGGGTTCTCAGAAGAAAGAGGACACTTTCTAGGAATGAGATGAAGCCAGGAGCTTGGAGAGTCAGATTTAGATGGCCTGAAAAGAACACAACGGGTCTGAGTAAGGAAAAGAGATCAAATATCTTAAGCATCACAGTGAGAGATTTTGAAGGTGCCTATAGGATGTACATAGTTTTAAAACAGAAGGCTTGAGAATCAAGATTTCAGCACGTTAGCACAGACACGCTTTTTAAGTTGACTCTGAAAGCATGGATTGCCTGATGATCAAATGGATGGACATAATTCATTACAGAGAATCAACATGAGGACTCGGGACTTGAGACTGGATCCATGCAGCTCCCTTCCTTGGACCTTCCTACTAATTCCAGGTCTAATGAGCATGTCGGATTCCCATTCTAAACCCATTGCATACACAGGTTCTTAGAAGGAAAACTTTCTAATTATTGAGTATTGTTCACTGTTTTTAATGAGTATTGTATACTGTTTGCAAAACAAGCTGTCTGAGAGCCATAAGAGGTTTTATTTGTGGGGCTGGGGAGATGGCTCAGCCATTAAGAGCACTGAGTGCTTTTGAAGAGGACCTGGGTTCTATTCCCACCATCCTTATGGTGACTCCCAACTGCCTGTAACTTCAATTCCAGGGGATACGATGCCCTCTTCTGGCCTCCTCGGGAACTACAACACATGTAGTAAACAGACATACAAACTGGCAAAATACTAGCCTAGGGAAGAAAAAGAAACGTTTGTTTTGCATTAGCCTAGAGGCTAGACTTGTTTAGAACTCAGGGTACTTATCTTAAACACGAAAGGCAAACTCAACAAAAAAGCAGTGTTGGAAGTGAGAAGAAACAATCGCTCTATTGATTTGAGCATACGGAAAGAAAAGCGAGAACTCTGGACAGAAGGGTAAAGACGCGCTGCTAACGACGTAAGATTCTTCCCATCTTCCCAAATGACGTAGGAGAGGCGCTAGCAAAAAATGACTAAACGCCAGGGGAAAAACCATAGATCACTGACTATTCCTTGATAGACAGAGCCAGCAGCTAAGAAGAACTGGCAGAGAAGTGAAAATGCTAACTACATATTAGATCCTAACAGTAAGTATTAAGTTCTACAGATTTAAAATTCATTATTTCTTTCAGAATTTACTATCTATCATTCTCAAAATGACAATTAATAAATCTGACAGAAACCGAGTTTTGCTCTGTGTGTGTGTGTGTCTGTGCACTCGCACCTGGTGCACATATGTGTCTTTTATGATCAGAGGACATAGAACTGGGAAAACAGACAATAAAAGCAAGTACGCAAGAACATTTGCCAAGGCTCTGTAAGCAGGCCCTCCAGCGCAGCCCCACCCCTCAGCCCCGCCCACCAGCTTGGGAGCTCTGTGGCCTGAGGACGTTTTTGTTAGCTGGAAGCCAGCAGATTACAGACTTCTCATTTCTCAACTGCCTTTCTCTGTAGCTCTAGACATTTTGCTTTGCTTTGGCGTTTAAGTGAAATTTTCTCTGATGAAAAATTCCAGATTTTTTTTTAAATTTAAGGAATTTCTTCACACTTTATAGGCAAAAATACCAGAAATGAAAGAGCTGACAAAAATCACGCAGATCCAAATTCAACCATCCACTTCTCGTACTTCTCCAAGTCCGCAGCGGAGACAGACTTGGCAATTTTCTTCAGCGCCAGCTCAAAGTCCCCTCTGGTGACAGGCATCTGCAGCTCCTCCTTGGACAGGGCCCTGATCTCTTCTGGACTCAAGCCGCTGATGCGCCGCCTCATTGCCATCAGAGATGCGTCCCTGGAACCAGCAGAGCAGTTAGTAGCTGGACCCGCACTCGCTCTCCACATGTCTAGCTAGACAAAGTTATGACAAACGTGCCCACGGCTATTGTATATGTGCTCTTACGATGCCACTCAGAAGGTTACCCTTCACCCTGAAATTTCAGAAGACGTTAAAAACTCATACATAGCTGGGGAGGTGGCTCTGTTGAAATGGTGCTGGATATGTAAGCACAAAGGACCAGGGGTTCAATTCCAATCCCATCCCCAAAAAGGCTGGGTATATTGGCACATGCTGGTAATCTTAGGGTTGGGGAGGTGGAAACAGATTTCCATAGGACTTGTTGGCTAGCTAGCCTAGCCTACTTGGCAAACCTCAGGCCACTGAGAGACTCTGTCTCAAAAAAAGGGGGGGGCAACATTTAGTCCTAGTAACCAGGAGGCAGAAGCAGGAAGACCTTTATGAGTTTAGGGCTAGCCTGGTTTACATAGCCAGCGAGAGATATACAGTGAGACCCTGCAAAAAAAGAAAAAGCAAAAGAAACTGACCCATATATACCATACACAGAAAACCAGGTGGCCAGAGTCTGAGAAACAAAGCCCAAGATTGATCTCTGACCTCCAACATGCATGAACACACATGTGCACAGATATCTGGACACATTCATGTCCCTGCGCGCGCACCCACACCCACACACACAGGATAGGAAGAGGTGCATTTATCACAGAAGCCTGGGGCAAACTCAGTTTGCACTCAGTCCTCTTTATTCTCTGTGCCTCAAAATCAGCCAGGAAGTTTAGGAAGAGGAAGTCCAATTTTGGAATCCAGAGCTGCATACTTGGAAGGAGCATATGGCTAATGTGAAAATAATTCAAGCTGTGTGAGTCAGTCCACAGCGCGAGCAGCAGGAGTGAAAGGCGGGGCACGCACATATCCACACACTGGAGAGAGTGCCCTACATGGGATGTTTGTGGGAAGCCAACAGTAGAAACTCGGGCTTCTGACTTCATTCAGCCCCTTTGCCCAACTATAAATAAAAAGGAAGGTTTAGAAGAAGCGGCTAAGTTCTCATCAAGACCTACTTGGAAGGACAAGCCAGCCACACCTTCAGGATTGCCAGGGTTTTACTGGAGACTGTGAAAACGATAGTGGGCGTTGGGCCTTTGGACTCAGACACACCTAGAAAAACACTAGCAGAAAACATGGGAAAAACAGGCGCCAACGCTTCCAGGGAAAACTGCTGAGACCAATTATGCAGACTTCTCCATATAAGAACAAAAAATTCTCTTTATCGGGTGATGTGTCTAAAAATTATGAAACCCTAAAGTGAAAGGGAAAGAAAACGTGTTTCTTCCACCAATGAAATGGGTCAACTTCATTCATCTGCATGTGGTCCAAATCTGCCTGATAAAGTACACAACATTGCCTCCAGCAGAATAGCTGGGCTCCAGCCTAGAGTTAATGAGCCAGAGGCTGCTCAGCTGTTATTGCCGAGTAAGACCCAGGGGTTCTCGGGATAATCAAGTCTAAGTGAGGAGCGGGGCTGGAGCTCACCTGGGTAGAGAGCGCTTGCCCGGCATGTACAACACCCTGTGTTTGTGTCCAGCACCACAAGGGGGAAAATCCCAAACCCTAAGTGAGCTCTGTAATCCTAGCACTCCTGAGATGGAGGCAGGAGGACCATGAATTCATACTCTGGGCAACAGAGGATCTGGTATCAAGAGCAGAAGAAAGTAAAAACCATCATACTATGTACTTGATTGTCTAACAACCAACGAAGGCATGTGTTAAGGGGACAACTTCTGTATAGTGTTAGGTGGATGCAGGTTTCCAGGGCTGACCATTCGGCACTGGATAACTAACTGGAAGCTGCACCATGGGGAAGACGATTTCTCCTGCTCTTAGCATTCTTTTGCCTACAGTTCCTTGTCTAGGGTTGAGGCCTCCTGAGCTTGGCCACCTCCCTATCATCATGTCTACTGTTAGATAGCTCATGCTTTGGCAGTCACTGGGGAAGAATAGCCTCAAAAGGGTTTTTTTTTTNTTTTTTTTTTTTTTTTTTTTTTTTTTTTTTTTTTTTTTTTTTGTAGAAGAAAGTAAAGCTCGTTAAAAAGAAGAAGCTAGTGCACCAGTGGGAAAGCCTCTCAAGGGAAGGGGCTACTGCCTTCTGTCTGGGACTATTCTACTGACCTAGAGACTAGCTGTCCTATAAAACTAAAGCTGACGCAGTCACAGGTCACAAAGACACACCTGCAGACGTTAGTTATGTCGGCGCCGGAATAGCCCTCAATCTTGTCCGCGATGTCTTCCAGGCGAATGTCAGGATCCAGCTCCACCTCCCGAAGGCTAATCTTCAGAAGCTCGGCTCTTCCTTTTGCTGTTGGAAGACAAAATGGTTTGTGTAAATTTACAGATCATTTTGCTGAGGAATCCCATACAACATCCAGGCCAAGAGAAGAAGAAGAGTCAAAGACGGTGAGTCCCCAGCTCTCTAGATAGTCCCCCAGTACTCCCGACAGTCCCCCAGTGCTCCCGACAGTTCCCCAGTGCTCCCGACAGTCCCCCAGCACTTGGATCTGCCGCACAGTGCAGAGGCATTCTCCTCTCTATGCCGCCACTGAGAACTGCAGGGACTTCATTCCCATTACAGATCCAAGGCCTGCTATGTGAACTGAAGGCCTGAGCTCTCCATGATAGACAAACACTGTATTCAAACGCCAGAACTGCTTCTGAGTAAAGCATGGTGCGGGAGGGGGGGGCAGCTCAGCAGTCTAGAGCACTGGCTGCTCTTGCAGAATTGAGTTCAGTTCCCAGCACCCACAGGGGGCTCACACCATCTGTAACTATCTCCAGTTCCAGGGGATCTGACACCATATTCTGGGCTCCATAGACACTGCCTGCATGTGGTATAATACATGCTGACAAAATACTATACACATAAAGTTCATTTTACAATTGAAAACGGTTTGGCCTACTTTATCAAATACAACTGAACGAAGTAACTCCTATAAGTGGCTCGGCTCACATGTTAGGATGACAGGTTTATGGAACCCTCGTCAGTGGGTGCGAAAAACTCCTAGGACTTAGCAGTGAGCACAAATGGCTCATTAGTGAAGTTGCTACTTAGAAAGTTAGTCCAGTGCCACTTGCTGCCACCACGGTTTCCGCCCAGTGCTGGTGCTGGTGGGGCTGCCTACTGAGCTACTTGGCATGTTACTGCAGCACTTGGTGGCGGACCTGCTTGAACTGGCGCTATGACAGACCATAACAGGTTTGCCTTGATCTCTGTTCCCTAAGACACAAAAGAAATTTAATTTTCCTCAACTGCTATTTTAATCCACTGGTGGCTAGCAGCACCGCTCTAGCTTCTTTCTCCCCTCCACGGACACTTGTGAATTGCGAGCTGGATGCAGGTAACATCATACCCACACGCTCATGAGCGGCATCTCCTGAGAACAAAGACAGGTCCATATTCTTCACTAACTCGGAAAGACAGCAGCAGGACCTAAGCAGTAGCTGAAGCACAACTCAAGGTGACTGTCCCTGTCTGCCCGGCCTCGTGGCTGCTAACCGACGCATCCTGCACTCACACCCTGTCTCCTCCGCGTCTCCCATTCAAGTCAGACCCTACAAGTCTGTTTTGTTAGTTTTATCTTTCATGACACAATTCTTTCCCCAATCACAACATCAAAGCATGCCCACAAATGTTTGAAGAGGTCTGTTTGCAGAATCTCGTGGCAAATTCTACAACGCGAATGCATACGGGAAGAACCAAGCACCACCGAGATGTTCTAGAGGAGCAGCAAGGTGGGAGAATGGCCGCTAACAGTTTATAAGACGGCCTGCAAAGCCACAGTTTCTGCCAGTGGGATGCTGTGGAGACCAACACCTCAATGGACAGAAACAGGAGTGAGGGGACATCGGACTCCGGGTTATAACAGGTGGGTCAGGCAATACGGAAATGTAAGTCTATCCTCAGGGAAAATGAGATCCAGTTTCCCCTCACACTACGTACAAAAATCAGGGCCAATACAAGTAAAATAAACATAAAATTATAAGCATTTTATAACAGAACTAGGAAAAGAATTCATGATCTTAGGGAGAATTCTTAAGGTAGATATTTTTTAAAGAGGAGTACTCGGGCTGGAGAGATGGTTCAGAAGATAAACCGCTTGCTGTTAAATCTTCAGGACCTGAGCTTGGATCCCTAGCACACATCAAAATCTGGAAGTGAACACATGGAATCCTTAATTCCTGGACTAGAAAGGAGGCAGAACTGGGAGGCAGAACCAGGGTCCTAAAGGAGGGGAAAGAACCGGGGTCCTGAAGGAGGGGGCAGAACCGGGGTCCTGAAGGTTCGTTGTCCAGCAAGTCTACTCAGTCAATGAGCTCAGGTTTGTAGGAGACAGGAGTGAGAGATGAGGACCCCAACACTGATCTGGTGCACAGCACTCCTGCACACAGGTCCACATGCATGCCACACGTGACACACACACCACACACAACGAAGGTGTGGAGGAAAAGATAATGCTTGAATAATTAGTCCTAATTATCACAAGAACCATGTCCCCAAATATTCCTACGCTGAAGTCCTTTGGAATGTGACTGCACTTGGTGACAGAGGTTTTTAAAAAGATATAATGAGGTCACGTGAGTCTGCCCTAACCCAGTATCACCAATGTTCTCATTAAAAGGTTAGGACACACACGTATTCAGGAGAAAGGCCATGTGTTGACACCAGGGGAAGATGGCATCTACCAGGCAAAGAGAGGGGCCTCAGAGTGAAAGATGCCTTCACAGCCTTGATCCTAAGGAATCAAAGCCCTTTCTCCTCCCTTGCTCAGGTGACAGCAGCCTTGCTGGAGAGCCCCTGTGCTCTGTGCTCCTGAGGACAGTGGCTTCGGCTCATCTCCCAGAGACTCGACAGCCACCTTTGAAGGAAACACTGTTTTCCCTTGGCTCCACAGATGGCCCATGGCTAGGACAGGATGAGAAGGCCTGGCATCCTGTGTCTGTCCTCCTGGCTGGCTTCCCCTCTGGGCAGATTCCACTCACCCTGCACAGAAGCAGATTGATTTCTAGAAAAATATTTTGTCTGGAACTATAATTCCTGGTTAATCTGACTGAGGCGCCTAGTCTCTCATCTCTTCAAGGCAAAGGCACACTGACCATCAATGGGAGGAGGAAGGTGGCACCTGTGCTTTGGATGGCCTCTGCCTGTGCCCAGGAGGAGCACGGATGTTCCTCTCTCCTTTGTCACTCCTTCCTGCGGCCAGAACCATCTATCTGTCGCACAGAAGCTGGCTGCAGGCAGTTTCCTCTTCCCCATCCTCCCATTGCTGATGACACTCTTCTGTATCCCCAGCACTGACGTCTCGGAGAGATCGCCACGTGCCCCACACCCGGATCCATTCCACCTGCAGCCTGAACTTTGTGACTTACACAGCTATGAACCAGCGTATTTCTGTTGTTAGATGCAACTAGGTTTTGGTGCTTGCAGTAGCACCTCTAAAAATTCAAGCACAGTAGAGCACCAGGAAGGAACTGTAACTATATCTGTATGTGGTAACGCAGAGTCTCTAAAAACACACTGAGAAAAAGCAGCAAGACAAAGAGACACCATTTTGTGAATGAATTTATATAAAATTTCCAAAGAAATAAAGCTGTTTAGAAATACATTAAGTGATAAAATTACAAGGAAAAACAATAAATGACTTCTATAAAAGGAAGGACAGCGGTTAGCAGTCAGTCAGGAAGAGAGTGTGCTAGCGAGGACTCTGTGGAGCTGCTGCGTTCTGAGGACGTCCTGTCTCTTTCCTAGAAGTAGGGACAAGAGTAGCTGACTTGCCAGCTATTGACTAAACCGAGAATGCTAATAAACGAGCCTGCCCCAGTTGTTCACACGCACAACACAGAAGAGTAGTTACAGCGGGAAGACAACGGGCAGGCATTGTTTGAAGTTTTCCAGAAAAAAAAAAAAAAAAAGAAGCGTACAACCTGGAAATCTTCCCCTGAAGATAGAGTGTTTGGAGATGAAAATGAGCCTGCAGCCTTTGGGACAGACGTGCTCGAGTCACGGGCGCAGAGCTGCGACACGGTGTGACAGTGCGGGATGGCTGAGTCACTTCAGCTACTGCTGTAGCCGAGACCATTTCACCGCTCAGCTAGTAATTAAGAACCACTGTATAAAAAAGCAATGCTTGTGAGCCATGGGACTGTCACAGCGGCAGAACGGAGAGGAACAGCCAGCAAAGGTGCCACGAGGCAGAGCCTGAAGCTGAGATTCTACCAATTAATTATCTTACATAGCCTGGAGGCCAAGCCACAAGAGCAATCAAGTCATACGCTATAAAATACAGCTTCAAAATTCATAGGCAAGGCTTCCCTTTCTAGGCACAGAGAAGTAACTGATACCAGACCAGCCCTCCTGTGGCAAACAACTATAAACTTAGATAAAATCACGAGGCCAAGTGTTTTCATGCATGGGCGTTTGCCGGCATGTAAGGCTATGCACCCTGTGTATGCAATGCCTGCATAGCCAGAAGATGGCGCTGGAACCCCTGGGACTCAAGTTACAAATGGTTATGAGCTGCCATGTTGGTGCTGGACCCTCTCAAAAGCAGCCAATGCTCTTAACCTCTGGCCATCTTTCCAAACCCAAGAATTTTAAGATAGGTTTTTCTGAGTTTTACCATTTAGAGGAAAGCAATACCCAGACTGCCTAGAATATAAAGTTTATGATATAAATCACTAGACATATTAATAAACAGAAAATGCAAATAAATCAAGAAAAAACAGACAATAGAAACAGGTAGTCTAAAAGCTAGCATGGGTTAATTAAGTGAGAAGTAGCAGTCTGTTTCTGAGAAAACATTAAAGTTCAGAGGCTTAAAGTAATGTTTTAGTACCACAGTTTCTGAGAATCAAAATCTGGAAGCAGCTTAACTAAGAGTTCTGGCTTGGGGTCTCGCTGGCTAATTCATTTGTTCAATTTGGCTGGAACACGGTGCCCAAATTTTATGTCCAACTATATCCTGGAGATCAGTATTTAAACTGGTGGACTTTGAGGACGGCAGACCAGCTGCCCCACGATGTGGCTGAGCCTCCCCCAGGAAAAGGGAACCTGGGGGCCGGCAGCTGTCTGACTTAACTTCCTCTGACATCAGCTCCTCCTGGGTCTCTACCGTGGAAGCTAACCCTGCACCCCATGACTTGCCAGCCTCTGTGGTTACAGGAGCCATACCCTGAAATTATTCCATCCATCAGTATCTCTCTCTCTTCCTGTCTCCTCTTTTTTCTCCTTTCGTGCCTCCAGCACACACACAGACAGATGTACTCTAAAGTTTCTTTCTCTCTGTCCAGCCCTAATAGAAGATG